CAAAAAAATTCCATATCACTCCATTTTCCACGCTGATAGCTGCTACTGAAGCATTCCAGGAGAGTGCATGTCATTATGTCTGCCTAATCCCACATCTATCTCCATTACCAAGACACAGTTTAATGAATCCACTATCTCCACAATAAAGGCTACCTCTCTCCCTTTCTCACATGGTACACGCACACAGATCTGTGTGCTGACACACAATCATGCATGTTTTCAGTTCGTGTCTCATTCTATATTTTGAGAATCTTTTCGCAAGGCATTTACTACAAGCAGAACGCTGAGCAGCCATATATATATATACAGTGTGTAGCTCATAATGTCAGACCTATAAGAAACATATTTGTCTGTGTGATTTACTGTGCTGGTCAACAAATCCTGCTGCAACCCACAGCATTACAGAATGAATGGAATGAAATCTACACATACAGTAAATCAGCTCATGGGGTCCCTCAATAAGGCTAGATCTCACACACACACACACACACACACACACACACACACACACACACACACACACACACACACACACACACACACACACACACACACACACACATATGCACACACATTACTTTTAAGGCCAAGGATGGATATGGTGTTGTAAAAATACATCTTGTCAGATAGTTTGTGGTTTTTACTGCTGTTGGCTCATGTTCCACTTAACACCCTTTACTTTTACACACACAGTATATCACTCAGCTGCCTGTCAACTCACTGCATCGTTGATCCAGCAAGCCACTCGGTGACAGTGAAAACCCTGAATGTTACTGTAGCAGGAGTCATAAGTCAGGGCAAATCGAGTCCTTACTCATACAGTGTGAAAAATCACAATTTTTAGACTGTCATGGGTTTCTTCAGTGCATGTGCACGTATGCTACAAAAACTGCATATGGTACTGTATGCTACTACACTATGCAATTGTGCTGTGTGGCACATTGGCTATACCATAGCTATATCTAACACACCTGTAAGTCATATGCATATTGCCGCACCGTTCTACACTGATTTGTGTATATGGATCAAGCACAGCAGCAGTGAATGTTTGGAGGCTTGGTGGCACAAAGGGGCAGCTGCTGAGTGATCCCAAGGGCAGGCCTTAGTCATCCAGCTGAGCAAACACACTGCAGTCCTGACAGTTTCAATAAGGCTGAGCTCTGACCTAACACATGAACTAATGCAGTCCGGGAGGGCAAGAACTGGCAAGTTGTCTCAAAATGCACAATCCTGATGAAGCTTTGCATTGCAGGTACACCCAAAAGGAAAACGTGTATAAATGTTGAGAAGTTTTATCCACACCTACACAGAGTTAAAACTTTGGCATTGTTCTAAATAGTCATTTAAATGGCAATTCTAAGTAGCAATTTAAATCCCTTTTGTCCTAGTAGAAAAACAAAATAATTGTCTGAGTTCTGCAGACATTCTGTATTTAAATCACAATTGTTGCACAAACTCTGTTTTGGAGGGGTCATGCAAAAGGACGTGATGGTATTCAACAAAATTACTACTTATTTTCTGAGAGTTACGCAACTGGGAAAAACAATTTTTCTAAGGATTAAACTTTCTGCAATGAAAAAAATTTCCATCGTGCCAGCACACTAGCTGCAGAAAACCAACCTTAACACCACAAGTTAAGAACGACACCTCGATGCCTCGGGCAGAATAGAAACTCTCACTTTTGGCTCATTGTGGTCTTACCATTGTCAGATGGAGATGGAGCTAGGTCAGACCTCCCTCCTGTAGCTGCAAAGCATGGCTGGTTGGTTATAATCAAACCATCACACCCACAAAAACACCAACATTTGCTCACACAATGAGAAAGATATATGACACAGGACTTATACTGTATAATATACTCTATCTAGTTATAAGGTCTGTCAGCCCTATGGCTCCTTTGAGCTTAGGATGATTGCTGTTCTGCTCCTACAGAAGATCAGTATGGCAGCACAGAGAGCAATAGTGCCATCACTGACTGATCTGTGTGTGTGGCTTTAGACGAACTGGTGCAGTAATCTGCCATAGAAAGTGGAATTATTTCACCCAAATGGCAGAATATTTCCCTTGTTTAATCAAAAATCTGCCCTCATTGCTGCAAGGGAAACTGAATGTCTTGTTAAGAAGGAGCATTTTTAGACTGTGAGCAGACTTTTATGGTAAAACAGCTGAGAAATCATGCAGTGCAATCATCACTGAGGCTGCAAAATTAGTCTGGGACTATAATTTAGTGTTAGCTGTTTAATTTAATACTGTATTATACCTTTATGGTGAGTTTGTCTTTAATATCCAAATTGCACTACATACACAATTGAGTGTTTTTTGTCGACTGCTTCACAGTAACATCATACACTTTATATCCCACACTTGCCCAAGACTCAAACTGTAAGTTCCGAGAAAGAAGAGAACTAATTTTACTGTAAGTTGTTTTGAATAGGAGCATCAGCATAATTTTTTTGTGACAGAAAGGTCCCAGTATCTAAATGTATAGAGTAGACATTCTTGCAGGTTTGATCCACACTGACATGTGGAGTTGTATGTTTCAAGCATTCAAAGATAATTTATTAAAGGTTGTAAGGTGTTAAAGTGGACAGATTAATATAACCATCCATTTCTGTCCAAAGAACAGAGAGAGAAAGAGCTGTACACAAGTAGGTTTTAACTAAACTAGCTAAACTTCTCTTTTTAGATCACCTCTGCTTGGCCCGTACAAAGTGAGGACAGATTCAGCCACATAAGAAATGTCAGAATCTCCTAAGCCATAAAATGCAAAGACAAAAATCTCTGGCATCTGCTTTTCAAAAGGCCATAAGGGATTTTTGACATTCGTTTGGTTATATAAACAAAACAGCTTTAAAGTCCAAATGCCTTTAACAGTATAGCCACTGACTGGCCACAGACATTTTTCTTCCCTCCCTCTTTGCACATAGTAAAGCTGCAACCTAAAATGATCAAGCTACAAAATCCCAAAAAAACAAAACTATACACTTTGTAAGTATAAACATTTCTACCATCTATTCCAAAACTGGGTAAAGTGAGATTTACAGTACATACCTCTATGTTGAGGTCTAATAAGGTTGCATGATAGACTAAATTGCACAGGAAGAAAATAAAGGTTACAAATAGATTTATGTTGACAGCAAAGGCTAAATATATATGTGAAAATAAAATGCAAACGTATCAGAGAGGGTGAAAGAGGAAGGGCATTGTCATGCTTCCTTGAATGTTCCCAGTCTGAGAAAAGACAACATCAGCTCTTGTTAAATCTGTTTACATCTTTCAAGTAACTCATTGTTTTTAACAGGGCCAAGAAATTTCTTAAAAGCAGAAAAATGAGCTTTGTTTTTATTTGAGGGAGAAGAAGAAAGCGAGCATTTCCCTCAATGTGAGCCAGCACGCACTTTATTAGAAGTAATAGTACATGTGTCTGTGCGCATGTGTGAGGGAGCAGTAAAGAAAGTTTGCGTGTTTGTGTGTGTGTGTGTGTGTTTACACAGCTGGAAGTTAGAGAGCAGAATCACTTCACCTGGCGGTGGTTCCTCGGGCGTCCACTGTGATCCCATTAAAAAGCAGACAGGCTCTGGCACAATCTCCAGAAAACAAGAGGACTTCACTTACCACAATATCCCCACATTAGAGGCCAAAAACCATGCCAAATCCCTACAAACCCCTGCTGAATTTACTTTGGGGGCAAATGGGTCCTGATAGCTGATTGCTCTGGCAGGGTTCAGGTGGATCTGCTGAGTGGCCTCTAGCCCAGTTTCCATTTCATTCAAGTTTCCACTGAGACCCAGACTTGCCTCCACACCTCCCTCTCGTCTCTCCTGCACTCAGTCCAACTAGCCCTTTTCACATCCTCCTCCTCAGGCCTGGTTAAAAAGCCAAAAACACTCATGCCAGATTTAGTGATAGCAGAAAGTGTTTATGTATCTGTCTGACTGACTGCTTATGATCATCTCTCTGTCTTCATGTCCTACCTTTCTGTTTCCCATCACCAACTTGTACCATAGCTGCTCTTGGAGTTTCCCACTAGATATCATGTTCAGCATAGTTCTGATAGAGAGAAGCTCAGTAAACCCACTCCTTGATTTACCCATCTCACTAATAGCTCAGAGTCCAAGGCACATGTCACAAAACTGCATAGCCTGGCACAGCATTACTCTGTCAATCCCCCAGCCCACCTGAGCAGCAATGCACTCAACCTGTCTGCATGCCTGCCTGTTTCCAGGAAAAAAGGGAGGCTTTAATGACCTCACTGTGACACCAACAGCTAGGGTTTGACAAGCCTCCAGGGCTCACTATCTTCTCTAAACAAGACCTTTTCAAATCGTACACACGCATAGACAAGCATGCAGGTTTTAGTCACACTGTACACACAAGCACACACAAGCACACACACTCACAAACACCCACATGTCAAAACACACAGCTACAGTCTGCAGAGCACTGATCTTCTGGTCACTGTCCGGTAGTCGACAGAAATAAAGGAAGAGACCAGAACCAATTAGCAGTGAGGGTGAAATGAAGGGAGGCAGAACAGTGAGGGAGCATGCTGTGGTCCATCGGGGCCTGTAATGTTGATCAAAGCAGCAGAAAATGCACTAAGCATCTGTTTCAATAGCCTGATGTCCCAGCCCTGCTCTCTTTACAAGCCTGATGGAGCTGCATTGAAAGCAGATCACTGGCTGCTCACTTATCATCTGTGCATTGTCCAGACCAATAAAACTCATGTCCATACTTAAACAAGCTGCCAGATCCTGCTGGAAAAACAGTGGCGTGGTTCACATGGTAAAGAACTCTTGCATGTAATTAAAGCAAAGACCAAGCAATTAAAATCACAGCATTAGAGTCACACATAGTGGGAGGTGGAGAGTGATGGGAATTAAGTATTAAAATTATAATCCTATTTTAACAACGAGACAGTGTGTGTAGGTCTATATCTGTTTGATTTTAGTTATAATAAATATATGCAAAAATTCAACAGGGGAACATTCAGTTCATACCAGTGTGGTCTTTGGTCTCAGGCAAATCAGACGAGGCAGGGCTCAAACTGGGGCTGGAAAACACAAAAGGAGATCATGTTATGCAGAGGTAGCTAGACACTGCCAATAAACTGGGTCATCCACGGGCTATTTACAGAAATCTACAGCACCAATTTCAGCAGCTGTAAAATAAAATTTACCTCATCCATTAATGGTGTAAAAGCAAAATGAAATGAGATCAAAGCATAGTGGCAATATCACTGCACTTAGCAGCTTGTGTACACTGGTCTTCTTCACATGAGGCTATAAAGATCACTGCTATCAAATGATACAGCCTTAATCCTCTTAAACTGATTTGGGGAAAAAAAAAAATTTGTTTCTTTCCTATCTCGTCACAAACGTCTCACCAGGAGGTGGGTGTAATCTTCAGCAGTCTTAAACATTTGACAGAATTTTGCAGAAGAGATGAACATGTTAAAGGTGTGGAAACTGTGACAATTTAGAACAGTCATAAAACAGTCGGGTAATTGTTTCTTAGTACTGCGGGCTGATTTGTTCTACAGCCAGTAGTCAATGACTCACAATAAACAAACATATAAACCATCAACATAAACCTATCCAAGCATGTTTAGATTTGTCTGGCAAGTACTGTACAGCTACATAGGATGCCTAACCTGAATGCAATCACTGGTGCTGGGGAAAATGAAAGGTAACATAAATAAATACTTGTCTATCTTGATCATGATAGGATACAAAATCCTGAATTTGGGAAAGGCAGAGTTTAATGTAATGTAAGAGATTACTTAAATCAACAAAAATAAGAGGCAAGTAAACACAAATCAACTTGTAAAACATTTATGTTCCACAATTTATTTCTGCATAGCTTCTACAGTACTGATGTACGGTATATTGAATTGTATATGAATCTCACTGGCCCATTATAAAGGCAAAGCAAAACACCAGCAATTCTAAAAACATTTACTGCTTGGTATCTGGATTAATGGTGCAATCCATCCTGCGCTCAACCTTCAACTTGAGCTGATATTTAATATCTAATGCTAAAATTGAGAAAATGTCTCATATTAAAATAAGAAAATGGAGAAATATTGGCTGCACCCACACCATGCCATACATCCCCACTTTTGCAAGCCAGTGTAGCAGTAAATAGCTTTTTGGTTCAGGTATGGCAGGCTACAGTTTGGCCTGCAACCCACAGGCTAACCAAAAATGAGGAGGAGAAGAGAAGAGAAAAGAGAAAAGAGGAAGACCAGCTTTAAAAAAATAAATAAAAAGAAACCTCCTGTGATGTCAACATCTACATCTTGTGTGGCCAGTCAGCAGGCCTGCCCAATGCTGATGTCATGATGCAAATTCTTAAATAACACCAATTATGAGCTGCTGTGTTGAACTAGCAGGAAACAGTTTGACAAAACACACTCAAAATAATGTGGAAACACAAAGTAGAACACAATTTATTCCTGATTGGTTTTAAAATACAGCTACAGCTGTTATTTACCAAAAAACATTTTTCATGAGGCAAAAAGCCTGGTGCTACAGTTGTATAGAGAAAAGGACACTGGTGGCTGAGACAAGGACCCGAAACACCTGTACACATTCAAAAAGATCTACATCTAGAGTATCCTGTCTGCAGCAATTGCACTGAACCAGGAGAGGTAAACATCATAACACGTGTCTGAAATTCTAGGGTATTAAATATCCCTCAAACACAATGAGCCTTAATATACACTGTACAGATTTCTATATAGCACACAGAAGTGCCAGACAGACCTTGTGCAGTCCTGTTTTGATAGGGAATAGGCTGCGTACTGGAGATGCGCATGTTTGTGAAAGACTGGTCCTGCTCAGAAACTGCTGTGCATGAAGTCTTGGAGTGCATGGAACAGATAATTGAATGAGAAACAGTCTCCCACTGGATCAAGACAGTTTTCTGGCATGACAATAAAAGCATGAGGTCGGTACAGGCTTTAGTTTGTGCCGTCATTCTGTTTGCAGCACTTTTATTTGGCTAGCCCCCCATGTATAGTGTCATGAACCTGTGTTGTTCAATATTTCATGCCTAGTATGAATCAGATCTAATAAAGATTGGAAAAGACCTGTTTCCAGCAGTGAGAGAAACCAAATGGTTGGTTGTGCTGCTGCTGCTACTTTCCCTCTTCAGTATCACAGGTCTGCTGCCAAGATGGACGAACGCTGGACTCCTGGTTTCAGAGTTTATCACAATCACACACCCACACTCACAGACACAGCCAATGTTCTCAGAGCCTGGCATCTCAACTCTCACCCTTTCACTACCATTCATATTTACATAAACCAAAGACAGCAGTGAGGAATGAATCACTGGCATGCAAATGAGCATCACAGTCCAGACAAGAAGTGACATAAAGTGATTTAGAATCCATGGCCACAGAAAGATAGGTGTCAACACATTCTTAGTTTCTTGCTTTTTGCAAGCTGGCTGCCACAATCAACAGAGCATATCTCATTCTCGCTGGGAAAGATTTAATTATCTCTAAGAGGATCCAAAATAGCAGCCGTTTCCCTTATTTTTATGAGAATAGGGTAATAGAGTAGAAGCGTCCTCTCTGACCTCTGCATTTTTCACAACTTTTTTTGTTCAAGTGGGAGGTATGACGTTTAATATTGAAATTACCTTGGCTTCTTCATTTAGGCATCACAGTGTGGGAAGTCTGAAAATTAACAGCAGGAACAAAGCCCAGATTAAACAAATTGCACACTGACAAATGTGTATTTGTAGAGGAACTAAGGTGCTGTTCCCCAGGAAAGGTTGCTTTGGTGGAAACGGGGCTTTAGAAATAGTGTCGGGTTGGGCTAGGTTTGGGGAAAAAACAAGGACTGAGGTTAGGAAAGATTACATTTACTGTAATGTTGTTTATCCATCATGAACAATAAGGACTACAAACATCAAGGCAATATTTAATTCAGTTCTTGATCTATTCTGGCACAGCAGGCCAAAAATCAGTATCGAGATGATGTTCCACTTACAGTTCTTGCTGTCTTGGCTGCTAGCTTCTCTCATGCTTCTACATTCCATTTTGCAAATTTTCTACACCAGGTCACTCAGTCTCAGCCTTGCTTCTGTCATTTGTTTATAGATTTTTTATCATCTGCTAGCTGAGTGTAAATATTAAAACGATGCAAATGAAGTATTACTAAAAATATATCCAACAAATCACATTTTATTCAATTATTTATTTCAGTTATATGAAGTAAGCATGATTTTATGGATGTCACTGAATTTTTTTATGGCACTTTCAGTGCCCCCAAGCATGAAACAGTGGCCAGACTTGAAATGAAATATCTGCCCTATGTTTAATGGCATCATTGTGTTTCACAACTTCAGACCACACTTGAAGAAACTGAAAATAAAATTTACTGAGAGTGAGGTAGTTGGTGGGGGGTGGGGTGAATTAATGCATGCAGTAGGAAAGAACCACTTTTTTTGGCTTTGAGTCTTAGAACTCAAGTTTGGCTGTCATGTGTCCCATAAACCCAGGCACCCTTGTGATGCTTGGCTTTAGTCATAGGTTTACATTAAGATAGAAAGGTGATTAGACGGAGTGGATTTAGAAAGGCAATGGAAAACAGATCACTGCTCACTGAGCAAGTTCCATGATTAATTCCATATTTTCTGATGGCACACACAAACCCTCTTTTTTCTGTTGATATCCCTATATCTTTATTATGTGCACACAAATACACAAAACCATGGAGTCTTTACACTCAAGTTGAGCCCACAGAAAAAGCAAAATACTGCCCCAGCAACAGGTTTAGGAACTAATGTTATAAAAGTAACAACAAAAACACTGGTAGTGTCATCAGGGTAAACTCTATTAGCCAAGATTTTACATAAGGGATTACAGTGTATGCGCATAATCTGAAACACTGTCTACACTTTAGCCACTCGGGGCATTAGATTTCAGTATCGTCCCTTCTAAAATCACTGTCAGAAGTCCATGTGAGGGGTGTCGACCTGAACAGGAGCCATGATAAAAATCAAATCCCCTTCAAGTGATCCCAAGGTTGGACTAAAATGTAAGTAAATGATCCCAGTCCTATAGCTTGCTGAAGCCATAACTAAATCAGCATGACATATTATTATTCCTGTTTTGACTTAGGTCAGAATCCAGGTTTTTTTTTTCTGAATTGTTATCCTGGTGTACTGCAGTCCCACCTGCATCAGGAAAACTAATTCCAAAACCCAGCAGTGACCCAAAAGTCTTTGACACTGCTTTACTGCACAGCTCACATGCAAGTATTTCTTTAAAGTTTATGGTACAAACAAGCACTGAGAACGAAGCTCTAAATACAGTATGTAGACCCAGGACAGAAAGCCATTATAACATTAACATAACAACTTCAGGCTATTCTTTTGGCAGAAGGGCACTATTATAAAAATCTTTGACAAATAATCCATATTAATTATGATAAAGAGCCTCAGGGTAAAAGGTTTTTACAGAGGCACTTCAGTCAGTTCAGGCCATGCTGAATCATTTCACAAAGCAGCTGATATTTTCACATTATTTGACACTAAATCACATTATTAAAGTTGTTTGGAAGGCATACTGCAACCCATTATACAATCCCTCTATAGGCTACAATACTGACTGTGAAAATACCATCTGCTTATGATGATGACTATGAATCCAGGCAATAAAGGGTAAAGCTATTTCACATAAGGACACACATAGTGCATAAATTCTTGACATGCTTTCAAACACTTTTTTCCCCACACAATGCTTCTAGGCCCATCTGTCATTCAGCTTCAATCCACATAATAATGTCAATATTCTGTATATCCTCTAGCGACATGCTTATCATATCTCAAATTGGCAAAATGTGCAAGTCAAAGCAAATATCTGGACTAGCCCAGCATTTATAAATGACAGATTCAATCACAGAGTGCACAGAATATTTAAACAGAGCTATCCAGTCATATGATGAACTGCTCATGTGTGCAGCAAATCTGTAGGAAGCATCAAGAACTTAAATCAAAACTATTGTGAAATTCAAATCGATGTAGTACTTGAAACTA